TTTGCCCCCTTTTTGGGCCCCGGGGGGACGCAGATCGCCCAAAACCTGAAGGTGATGAAAATTTGGGAGGAGGTTGCCGCCGCTTCCTTAGCGGCCCCCCCCCCGGAAAATTTCCCCCCCCCCCCCCCCGCAGTCTCCGCAGTCTCCGCCGCCCTCGCCACCCCCGCTGCCGGCCACCACCGCCGTCTGCTCCTGCCCTTAGCTCTGACCGGACTTGCGCCGGCTGCTCGTGAGACCCCGCGCTACGCCGCCGCTGCGCCTGACTGCTCCCTCCCCTGTCACTTCTCAGGTCGCTGCTCGGCACGGCCTCGCTTGCCTGCCACAGGAGAAGCCCTTCAAAGACATCAACGGCTCGGGCAAGCACAACAACATCTCTCTTGGCACCAACACCGGCGTGAACCTCCTCAACCCGGCCCAGCTCGCAAAGGCGCGCCGGCTCGCACGAGATCTCGCGAGATCTCGCGCACTCTCGGGGCAGTCTCGGGAGAGCCTCGGGGGAGCCGCGCGCAATCTCGCGCAATCTCAATCTCGCGCAATCTCGCGCAATCTCGCGCAGGCGTCTGGCTCGCACGAGATCTTCCCCGTGCTGATGGCGGGCATCGTGCGCGCCATCGACCTCCATGGCGACTTGATGCGCATGGCGATCGCGTCGCCCGGCAACGACGACACTTCCGAGACATGCCCCACGACACGCCCACGACACGTCCCGACACGTCCCAACACGTCCACGACATGTCCGCAGGCAACGACTTCCGGCTCGGCGCGTGCGAGGCGCCCCCGGCCATCATCTCGACGTACCTCGGCGAGACGATGACCGCGTACCTCGACGAGTTCCGCAAGTCCAAGGCCGGCAAGGAGTACGCGCCCGCCGTCAAGACGGTTGACCTCGGCCTCCAGAGCGGCAGAGGCCCGCGCCGCTCTTCCCACCTCTCTTGTCAGCCGCAGACGGTGCTGGTGTAGGCCTCGACGAGATCGCCCCCTTCACGATGCCGGCCGAGGACCGGAACCGCACGTCGCCCTTCCCGTACGGCGTGCACCGCTTCGATCTCGCGACATCTCCCCCACATCTCCCCCACATCTCCCCCACATCTCCCCCACATCTCCCCCACATCTCCCCCACATCTCCCCCACATCTCCCCCACATCTCCTCCACATCCCCCCCTGTCTCGCCCGCAGGCGGGCACCGCTTCGAGTTCCGCGCGGTTGGCTCGTCGCAGAACGTGTCGCTGGTCAACACGGTTCTCTGCACCATTTGGGCCGACTCGTTTGGCCACCTCGCCGACCAGATCGAGGCGGGCGGCAAGCCGGCCGAGGTTGCGGCCGCGGCGCTCGACCAGCACTGGAAGGTCATCTTCAACGGCAACAACTACGACGAGGCCAACCAGGAGGCGCTGACCAAGGCGGGCGTCTGGCGCATCGACTCGGGCGTCGACTCGCTGCAGCGGCTGTCGGACCCGAAGAATGTC